GCAGAGTTCAGATGGAGAGTTTGTAGGCTTCATTTTCATTCTGTAAATTTCTGTTGAGCAAATTTTTAAAATGAATGAGATATTTAAAAATTGAACTGACTATATAGAAGATTGTATAACGAACTATCAAAACAGAAGGCAAAACATACATAAATTGTGTGGAAACGTTTGGAGTGTCATGAAGCTAAAGTCAAAAATTAGGTAAAGTGCTTGGTTGTTGGGTGGGTGAGCTGGTTTCATAAATGGATGGGAAAAAAGCAAGAGGAAGGAAATAAGGAAGTGAGAGAGGCAGGAACAGAGGTAAGGAAGGAAGAGAGAGAGAAACATGAGAAGATGGATGAGGAGTAATTTACAGCTGGTCACTGAACAGACATAATTTCTTACCTCTCTTTCCTCATCTTTATCACTTTTTTCAACCATGACATGAGGAGGTGAGGTTTGAGGAGCTGATGTGAGAACATCAAGATTCCTTAAATAAATGAACTTTAAATTTTCTATTATGAAAATTTTCAAATATATTCTGCTATAGAAAGTAGTATTCATCTCTGCCCTTAATTATTTATCCCAAGCCCTCACTGTGTACTAGTATGGAACAAATATAAGAAATAATTCAAATGAATTGAATCTCTAGGTTTTAAAAAAAATTATATCCAAGTGACATTATGAGAAAAATAATTATGATCCATTATCTTGCAGACATTGCAAAAAGTTTAAAAAAACTGACAGAAAAATGCTATACTCATTTTTTATTCAAAAGGAAGAACATAGTTTCTTTTTTTAAAGGATATTTTTCTAGTTTTTTGTTTTATTTTAATTTTTTTGTTGTTGTTGATAGACGTTTATTACATTTATTTATATGTGGTGCTGAAAATCGAATCCAGTGCCTCACACATGCCAGGCAAGTACACTACCACTGAGCCATAGCCACAGTCCCAGAACACAGATTCTTTAGACTCTATAGTATGAATCTGATGTAGCTTTCATGATAAAATGGATTTTTCATTTCATGGACAAAAGGTAGTAGTGATCCTAAACACTTTAACATGCTAAAAACAAAGATTCCTCTAATGTCTCCATTTCCTTATTCATTTACTTAAATGCTATCTTTTTAATGAGAGAATTAAGCCAAATAATTTCCCCTCTTAATAAGGTCACCAGACTGGTAGATGAGGAAAACACCATCAAATAAAAATTAACCTTAATTTCAACAAGGTATTGACAAAGCCTCTTAGGTTGTTTATGCGTTGGACAAGTGATGCCTGGGTCACCATATAATTATGTAGATCGACAGGTGGTGTGGTGTCTGTGTCCAGAGGATTAATTAATAAGTCAGCCAAGCGGGAGGAAGGCAGCCTTCTACAGTATGCTGACCTTGCTCAGGTCCTTGGTTTTAATCAATGACTTGGATGAGGACACAGAAGATATGCAAGTAATTCCAAGGTAGACTTTGGGTTTATAGAAAGACCATACATGGAGAAGTGAATTAAGTTCAGGATTTATTGAGGTAAAGAAAAAAAATTATTTTAAGCAAGGTGAATAAACAGAGCAAAAGTCCATGAAGCATATCTCAGTTTTCTTTGGGTCCCAAAATCCAACATGGATCCTCTGGTGCCATTTGCATTGTTGGTGTGAGGTCGTATGCTGCTGTATCTGAAGAGCTCAATTTTGTTGCTCACCATGTCACTTCAGGACTTACATCATCAGGTGGTAAGAACATACACAGATGGGAAACATTTATAGACATCTAGGCCCCTTCTTGATCCTGGAACAAAACCCACTATGTGTTAAGTAAACATAGTGATAGAGCAGGAGGGAGCAGTCAGCACACCTCAGTCCCTCAGCATCATCTCTGTGTCTCTTTACCACATCCTATGGAGATACATCTTTACCACATTGCCCCAGGACCTCTATCAGAGGTACCAGGGTTACTGTTCTCCAGAGATAAAGTCTTGATGGAACTAAGAACCTTTACTACGATCTGCCTCAGTCTTTGTATACTATCTGCGGCTTGAATCATTATTCTTAAGGAACTTACACAAGCAGTCTATGCCCCCTACTATTTTCTTTAAAAGATGGTGTATAGATATTGAGCCTCTCCTGATTACTGAGCCAAACTCAGCATCAATAAAAGTCCATCCCCATGCAGTGGGAAAGGCAGATTGAGTGCTCAGGCATTTGTGACAGTCTCTCTGTCTCTGGTTATCTGGCATCTTAGGGAGCCACAGGAGCCTATCTGATTTACAGAAGACAAGAAACTGGGGAGGATCTTTGATATGCCAGTGACAAAAACAAAATTTTAAAAGATATCAGAAAGGTTAGAAGCATGAGCTAAAAATTAAAATAAACTAACCAAATAAATACAACCCTTATCCTTAATCCAGGAGTAGAAAATAAGCACATATGATTCTTTAAAAGCAGCTTTTGAATTAACTGCAAGCTTAATAAGAACCTAAAAAATAAACCATCTGCATATATATGTATATATACATACATATATATACATATACATATATTATTACATTCATAAATATCCTTATGAAAGGTGGCATTAACTGCTTTCTATACATTCTATATGAGGAGGCATTATCTCTGGCATTTGAGTTACTTTGTGTTTCTCATTTTAGGAAGATATTAACCAGCCATGAACAGGGTGATTGGAATACTTAAGGGCTTTAAAACCATGCCTGATGATAATGAGAATAATAATAACAACTTCTGTGCCTGTTGCAAAGCAGACTCAATGATAGACATCATATTGTTTTTAACATTAAAAAAATGAAGGAAAAGTTACCTCCCCAGCTAAACTTTAAAGTTTATGGTGACAGGGCTTTTGTCCATAATTTTCAGATGACAACTAAGATGGTAATAATAATAATGATAGTTGCCACGTAGTATTTGAGAAATGAATTATTGAGTGGCAGGGGAGAAAAGAGTATGTGGCTCTGGATAGGAAACTACATCAAGTGGGTTGAAGTCACAAAGAGGCATATTAAAGCTCAAATGTTTTTAAAAAAATCTGTTATTGTACAGAAAGCCCTCTAAGCCGGTCCATTTCTGTTAGCTGCTGACTGACTACCTGGTGCAGAGGTCAAAACTGGATATTTATTACCACCTGCTCAAGTTCATATTGTTATCCTCATTTTATGCCTGAGGAAATTGAATTGCCAAGTAAAAATTTGCTGAAGTTCACACAGCTAGGAGGTGACAGAATTAAGGATTACTGGCTTAAAAATCTATTTATTTTTACAAAATTATAATCTTTCCTATCATTAGAAATAATTGATGGCTGTTGGCTAGACGTCCATCTCCTGAGAACATGTTTCAGAGAATTTCTGGATTGAGTCAGGGTAGCTCCCACCTCTTGTATCTATAAGTGTTCAGTACCGATGGGCCTGTTTGTCAAGAAATATACTTTCATAAGAATGAATGTTTAATGATGTTCCTCAAAAAACCACAAAGTAATAGGACTATTGACAATATTTTTAAGTGAATCTAAAGAGATCAGTTTGAATTGAGGGAAGGCTGAATGCTGTCAGTGAAGGACACTCACTAATTCATCCTGAGTTTCACTGAGAAAGCACTTCATTGGCCTCCTAATATAATTGCATCCATGGCAGTTCATTGGCTTGGTACACTATTACATTTTGAAACATTCACGTGGCACATTTTACCGATGTACCACTGGTGAAGAGAAAGTTCAATACAAAATATAGCTACATGCCTTATATCTATTACAAAACATGAATATGGGTGGAAGAGAGCCCAAAACTTAAAAGCAAAGAAAAGCAGGCACATTTATTGACAGTTGAATATGTTCTAAATAGAGTCTAGAGATTAACCCACTCAAATCTGGGCAGAGGAAACACTAGGAGCTCAGTTTGCTGTGATGTGGCTTGTGGAGAGACTGGCCCAAACCTAGCAGAGATTCTGTGGCTTGGGGAGATGTACTCTTGGGCAGGTAAGATGGAAAGAGCCTGCACAAGGTCATGGATTCTCAGCAGAGCTTTCAGACCTGATATTCTGGTCACGGGGAGCCATGCTGTATTCTTTTTTTTTTTTTTTTTTGACTCAGGGTTGAACTCAGAGGCACTTTACTACTGAGCTACACCCCCAATTCTTTTTATTTGTTTGTTTGTTTATTGAGACAGGGTATGGCTAATTTGCTTAGGGCCCCACTAAGTTGCTGAGGTTGGCCTGGAACTTGCAATCCTCTTGCCTCAAACTCCTAGAGTCACTGGGATGATAGATGTGGTACCTACCAGGCTGGATTCTTGAGTTAAAGTGTGGAATAAGAAAGTCATTCAACAATATAGGGAGCATGTTCCCTCTGCCAGGAAGGAACTGGAAGCTATAGTGTAAGAAAGAATACAAGTTTGTTTTTTTTTTTAGAAAGGAGTCTCCTCCTCTAATATTATAATAGATATTCGTAATAATAGTGAACACTTAGGCCAATCGTGAACACTGTGCCAAGCAGTGTTCTAAGTACTTTAGGCATATGTTCATTCATCTTTACAACAATCCTGTGAAATAAGTACTGTTAGTTTCATTATCCCCAACTTTCAGGTGAGAAAACAGAGGCTTCTAAAAGCAACTGGCTGAAGGATCCACAGAGAAGGTGCTCACATTCAGTCACCTAGTAGCAATGTTTTCAATAGCAGTGCATTTATTTTATGATAGTGTCTGATATCATCTAGCTATTTAAGTCACAGCTTGAGCAGATTGTTCTTGGAAATGATAGACACAACAGGGAAGAGGTTGTGTTCCCTGGTTCATGCACTTGGTTGACAATCTAGGTTCCAATGTTGAATGGAATGCAGGGGCTCCTTTTCCCCTTGAACCTGAGGACTGCAAGACAGACCTTTTCAAGTCTTAAAATAATATTTGTATTCTAACAAAATTAATAAGTGTATGATTATATCTGCAGTTACTTTATTTATAAACATGATAATTCCTTTCCACACAAGTGGCATACCATATGTGTACTCTTTCTCCCCCACTAGGGGCTCAAGATCTGGATCGCATCCGACTCTCCACCTACAGAACAGCATGCAAGCTTAGATTTGTTCAGAAGAAATGCAATTGTAAGTATGCCAGTTGTTTGGGCTAATTACCTTTATGAATCCTATAGTTTACATGTATTACTAAGTTTATTGAAACCAGATTTTCTTGCACGTATTGATAAAAAATGTTTACACAACAATAAAAGGATTATAATGATACACAAATGGTACAAAGACTGTTCCTAAGTAATTCTGAGGTCTGAATTACTTTTACCTACTAAAGTATTGAAATTCATGAGCGTCTGGAAATATGGATCATCCCAACTTTGAACTGGTTTAAGTCTGGCAAAAGTTTTTCGTCTTTTCTCTACCCTTGGTATTCTAAATGCAATGTCATCAAAATGGTTTTCATGAACTTTGTAAAACATCAAACATTATTAAATCCTCCTGATATGTGTATTTCCTTTGTAAGTATTGGAACATGTTTACAAGCTCCTGGAAAACATCAAAGCTTAGTTCTGATGCTGTAAGATCAGCCCTTTGTATTGGAGTATTAACTACATTTACTGACATCAGACAACAGTGACAGAAGGGAAGTTGCTTAAAGAAACCAGGGAACTCGCTTCAACTTGTTCCCAAATTTTAAAATATAGGAAATGAGTCAGATCACTGACCACAATGAGCAGTTTACATTCCCTGCTGGGTCAACGCTTCTGTCCCATCACCATATCCATTTTCTCTTGGAAAAAAAATATTGCTTCCTATTCCATGTGTATAAATTTATTATTCTTATTTTAAAAAAAAAAAGAAAGAAAGAAAAACTGGCTCTGCTTTTAAAAACTGATAATGGTCTCTTTTTCTAATTAATATTGGACAAATTCTACACAGTGAAAGCCATAATGTTCTCCTGAGCACATACAGACAGTTCTTGAATAACTGGCATGGGAATGGGACTCTTGGCATATGCAAAGACCAGCCACCTGCAGATTTCTACCCTGCCAGAATCTCCAGCAGGTATTTCCCAGGGCCAGGTTTCCAAGCATACAGCTGATGGTGACAGGAGGGTGGGCAGTGTGCATCTGTTCTTTAAGGTGCCCAGCTATAGCCTGTTCTCCAGCCCCACTAGCTGAGCATGGGGTTTGGGATAGAAGAAGAAAAAAAAAAAAAAAAAACAATGGTAGAACATCAATATGTGTTTTTGATTCCTCTCAGGATACTAAGCCAATCCCACAGCAGTAGTGAGAAAAGGGCTACAGCAGATGGGGAAAAAAAAAAAGGGCTGTATTTGTAGTCCTGGGCATCGATGAGTCAATAAAAACCCTTTCCAGGGTTAGGGGACAAGGAAAATGTTCCCAGAGAAGAAAAGCTGCCCTTCCCCCTGACACGGAACACTCTCGTTAGAACCAGAGGAAGAATCTCGACATTCTCAGGAATGAAAAATTACAGGATTCTCCCAAGTTCTGGCCATTTAGTAGCATGACAGTGGCCCTCCAAACTGGGGAGGCAGGAAGAGCACGGGGAAGGGGGTTTTGTTCCCCTTTTAAAGCTTAGCCCAACAGAGCCTTCCTTAGGCTTCTTTCTTTGGAAAAAGCCTACAAAATGGTAAGGAGGAAGAAGAAAAGAAGTGAGAGAGAGGGAAGAAGAGAGAAAGAGGAACAGAGGGGTGGGGGGGGGCGTGGAGAGGAGGGGACAGAAGGGAAGGAAAGAGACTCACAGGGAGCTGCAGCCCTCCTGCCAACAGTGCAAACTGCACACACACTGTCATCCTTTGTCAGGTGACCTAGCAACCCTCACGCACTGCTCCATGGCTCCTGCTCCCTGAGAAAGGTCTCTTCTCATTCTTGGACATCTCTTCTTCTTCTCATTATTTTCTGACCTTGTCTTTATCCTACATCTAGAATTGTATCTCTGTCACACTGATCTTCTTGGAAAGCAGTGGTAAAGAAGAGAGGATGATGGTGCATAGTGGGTGAAAAGTGACCCACCTGTCCATTTGTTCATGTCTTGGCTTAGTAGGCATGTATGAGCTCCTACTATGTGTCTAGCACTGTGTTAGGAACCAGAGAAAGGGCTATGGTGAATAGGATGTCATCCCTGACTTCCTGTTGCTCCAAGTCTAACTGGATGGATACACTTTTTGTTTGTTTGGTTTTTGTTCTTTTCCCAGTGCTGGGGATTGAACCCAGGGGCGCTCTGCCACTGAGCTGCATCCCTTTTCATTTTTAATTTTGAGAGAGGGTGTCACTAAGTTGCCCAGGCTGGCCTTGAATTTTCAACCCTCCTGCCTTAGCGTCCTGAGTTGGGATGACAGGCACATGCCACCACACCTGGCTGGGTAGACGGACTTTTAAACAAATTTATAAGCCCATGTAGAAGTATCACAATTGAAATACGTACATGGTGTTTGGGCACCCTGGTAAGGAGTGCCCCGACGTGAGAGATGGAGGCTGCTGGGAGGACTTTCCTAAGGGAAATCTAGGCTGGATCTTAAAGAATGAGCAGATATTAAGCTGGGGAGTGGGGGAGTCTTATTTGCTTTACAATGTACCTTATAAACTCCATTCATTTTAGGAAAAGATACTAGACAAAGTTGAGGCTCAGGCATAAAAAACAAGCATAATTTGATTGCTCTGCTAAAATTAAGCTTCTTTCTAAAATTGCTTCTACCTTCTTCAGAAGTGTTTAATACAAGTATTACATGTGTTTGCTGAGTTTTCCTTCCTGACAATAAACATATCAGTTGTGATATTCATAGTTCCTTACAGAATAATAATACAATTAGTCTTGGCTCATCTTACTCAAAGTTGGAAACTTCCTTCTAGACAGATAATCAGAAGCAGTGATTTATTTTTCTTTTCTTTATTTATTTACTTTGACAACATTAGTCAACATTGAATTTACTCTCCTGGATTAGAGGAAGATAATTTTAGTCTGTTGTCAGACCTAACTCAAAACAATTATGGCACCACATAATAGAGTTTTACTTTGCATCAAAATAAATTAGATAAAAATTTTAGGTAGTGTGTGTGTGTGTGTGTGTGTGTGTGTGTGTGTGTGTGTATAACTGCATTTGTGACCAAATGCAGTTGATTTGCTGCTTTGTGAGTGCAAAGCTGATAAGCACAACCAGGAGATGAAAGAGGGAAGAGAGGGTCATGCCTTGCAGCAAGTCTGGAGCGCACTGGGGATCATCCAAAAGCAGTGTCTCTCTCTTAGCCAACAAAGCATGGGGCTTTTATTAGGGAAACTCATACATATTCATGCAGGACAGACTCTCATCACATGTAGAGGCAGGACTTTCCTGAGCATCCTCCGTACAATGTCATGCTTCTTCATACATTACATGTTCCAAAAATAATGGGTGGAACACCTCTGGGAACAGAATTTAGTGTTATAATAATCAAAGTTGACTCTAGCTCACCTAAAAGGGACGAAGCAGGTGACTTAGTAATTTGGGCTGGCTCCTTATAAATTTCTCTGGTAGGCCTTTTCTGAAACAACAACAAAACATTTAAAATTTAAAGGCACACTTACCATCATTTCAAGTGGCCACAGCTTTTTTGTTTTTTGCAAGCATGGGTGATTGTCCCTAAAAGCTCCTTCTAGGGGCTAACAGATTGCTTTATCAAAAACTGTCTTAGTCATTTTGAGCTGCTATAACAAAAATATCATCAACTGGATATTTATAAACAACAGAAATGCATCACAATTCTGCCAACATCAAGGCACTACCCAATTTGGTGCCTGCTGAGGGCTCACTTTCTGATGATGGCACCTTCTTGCTGTGTCCTCACAGGATGGGGGCAGTTCCGCTCTTTGGGGTTTCTTCCATAGGGCTCTAATCCCAAACATGAGGGATCCACTGTAACCTAACCAAGCTCCCTAAAGTCCCTACCTCCTGCCACAATAGGGATTAGATTTCAACGCGAAGTTAGAGTGGGGAGGGCACAAACATTCAGACCATATTAGAAACTCCTTATCATATTTTTTTTCACAGAAATCAATGGATTTTTTTTAAGTCCAAGAAACTTTTTAATTCTTTTTTTTATAATTTTTATTGTTGGCTGTTCAAAACATTACATAGTTCTTGATATATCATATTTCACATTTTGATTCAAGTGGGTTATGAACTCCCATTTTTACCCCATATACAGATTGCAGAATCACATCGGGTTACACATCCACTGATTTACATATTGCCATACTAGTGTCTGTTGTATTCTGAAAAGCAGCAGAAATCAATGGATTTTAACAGTTTATTTTTAGGTGCAGACCTTGGGCAAAATTTATTTTGTATATTAACAAAATTAAGTTTAAAACCTACACAATGGAAGAAAAAACATAAAAACTAACATTGTAAAGTCACCATCACCAAAAAATAAATATTGTCTGGATACAGCATAAAGTGGATAAGTTTTTAGAAGATTTCTTTTTTTTTTTCTTGTCTAAATTCAAAGGTCATTTTCTCTGATGCAATTCTTAATGGATACTGAGATTTACGGTTTCCCTCCAAACAAGAGGCCAGAGAACTGTGACCTGTGGAGTAAATGCAGCCCAGCACCTCTTTCTGTATATCCCATGAATTAAGAATTGATTTTAGAGACAGATATTTGCTACTGATTTGATGAAAGGGAACACTAACATCTAATCCCAATTAAGCAAGATAAAATGTCTCCCCGAGAAAGAATTTCACCCTTCTCATTAGTAGGCCAACAATGTTTAAAATTTGTCCTCGATTATTATATATTTAATTTCATCCATAAAAATGTGTGGAAGTTCTTTTTCTCCTACATGTATAGCTATATAGTATCTTTGGTTATGTCTCTGTGTCCATCAAAAAAGTTCACCAACCCTATAGAAGAATTGCAAGAACACCTTGTCTTTTTCAGGCAAAAGACTTTCCATTCCTTCCAGATTTTTCCATAGGAAAGGTTTTCCAAATCACTACTTCTCCTAATCATTTTTCTTTTATGTCCTGTTATGCCCTCCCTCCACATGACATAAATAGCAAACTCCCTTCTATAATAAAAGAATTAATGCCTCTGAAAATTAGGGGGCACAAAGCTGGCTGTTTTGTATTT